TGGGCATTGGTGGTGCACGCCCTTAATCCCAGCACTTGGGAGGCAGAGGCAGGCAGATCTCTGTGAGTTCAAGGCAGCTTGATCTATAGAGTGAGATCCAGAACAGGCACCAAAACACCACAGAGAAACCCTGTCTCGAAAAAAAAAACCAAACCAAAAAAAATGTCTTTGGGTTCTGTGCTATACATACAAGACCCAGAAATAGGAGTAGTCAGGGGCTTCCGTGGTTGTTGCTACAGAATAATTCAATATCTAGCATAACTGATATTGCCAGAAACTATGTTCACATTGCCTACTTCTCAATGGTCTTAATTTTAAATATTCTATCCCACTTTTAAACCATATTTTTTTATTTTGACCATATATTAATTATAAGTTCTCTTTGTTTCATGTGAGGTCTAACTCAGAGCTGGGAACACTGTGTAAGCTTGATGAAGAAAATGTTATCTGGGTCTGAGAGATGACTCAGCAGTTAAAAGCACAGGCAGCTCTTCCAGGGGACCCAGGTTCAGCTCACAACCATCTGTAACCCCAGAACCAGAACCAAGGATCTGGTGCCCTCTTCTAGCTTCCTCAGGCACCAGGCACACATATGTACATACATACAGGCAAACACTCATATGCAAACAATAAAATAAATAAATCTTTAAAAATAAATAAAAAGTCATTAGTCAACCATAGTCTCCATCCACTTATGAAGATCAGTCTCCCTTCATAGCCTGTGCCAACCTATAAAAAGACCAGTCTCCCTTCATAGCCTGTGCTAATCTATAAAAAGGCCAGTCTCTCGTCATAGCCTGTGCTTACCTATAAAAATGTGCAAAGCACTCCTTATATTTTCCTCCTCAAACAATTTCCTCTTTTCTTGATAGTACTTAAATCCAGCATTTTCGGCTCCTTGCTTTGTTTAATTATTAACTGTGATTAGACACTCCAAGGGTTCTGGAGCACCCAGGCAATTGAACACGTGTAATTTCCCTGATTCAAACTAGAATGAGTAAAAACAAACAACAGAATTCAAAGGAGTGTTTGTACAACTGGATCTCTGTAGATTTATTCCTCTTTCCCATCTGCACTAACCAGACCTCCATGAGCAATCCCTTCATGGTGAACACAGCCTCTCTAATGTGGTGGCAAGAATTTGAAGCTATTTTAGAGTGTGAAACTAAAAAGCACCTACTACCTAAAGCACCCAGGCCTGAGCACACTTCTAGAATTAAGCTTTGGCTCCTGGAGATGTGAGACCAACTCTCATCTTATTTTGACTCCTTGAGATCTGACAGAATCTGGCATCTGGCACATTGTAAAAAATCAATACATGGTCTTGTTGGATGGATGGATGGATGGATGGATGGATGGATGGATGGATGGAGGGATTCAAAACTTACTTTGGATAATTTCACTGAAAAGAACAAAAAGCCAAAATTTGATTACTAATCCCTATGAGATAAACATAATGCCAAATTTTCTCTCTTCAAAATTCTGTTTATGCTGGATGTGGTAGTACACCCCTTTAATACCAGTACTCAGGAGGCAGAGGTAAGTGGGTTTCTGTGAGTTGGAGGACAGCCTGGTCTGAGAAGGGAGTTCCAGCCAGTCAGGGCTATATATTGAGACCCTGCTGTGGGATGGTCTGTATGTCAAATGTGTTGCTGATTGGTCAATGAATAAATCACTGATTGGTCAGTGGCCAGGCAGGAAGTATAGGCGGGACTAAGAGAGAGGAGAATTGAGAGAACAGGAAGCTGGGGGAGGGAGACACTGCCAGCCGCCATCAGGACAAGGAAGATGTAAAGTACCGGTAAGTCACAAGCCACGTGGCAAGGTATAGATTAATAGAAATGGATTAATTTAAGCTGTAAGAACAGTTAGCAAGAAGCCTGCCACGGCCATACAGTTTGTAACCAATATAAGTGTCTGTGTTTATTTGGTTGGGTCTGAATGGCTGTGGAACTGGCGGGTGTCAGAGATTTGTCCTGACTATGGGCCAGGCAGGAAAACTCTAGCTACAAGACCCTGTCTCAAAGAAAACAAAATCAACAACAACAAAACTACAGAAGATTCTGCTTACAGGTTGCTGCCTTGACAGTAGCCATTCATCTCTGAGGATGTAGTTATCTGTCTCATCCAGGATAAGCCCCTACCCCTGTCTGCCAGGGCATCTGGACACAATAACAGCCCTGTTAAAGGTAAAGCCCTGTCTCAATAGATAGACTTGTGACCTTAGCAAATTGACTCCCACATCATTTGTCAACAGGTACTGATAATACCAATTAACAAAAGAAAGCAATGGAGAACAAATACCTTCATCAGAAAAGGAATGAACGGTGTGTGCGTCATGTCGTTAAATCTTAGCCTTGCCATCAGGAACAAGGTGTCAGCAGAGCAACAAAAGCCAGAGTTCGGGTGGTGGGGGCATCCCTTGGGGCCAGAGAGATGTCAGGGTTTTATCATGGGGTATCTGAATATTTAACCATGTGACTCTGGACTTTGGTCCAAAGTGGAACAACAGATTGTATTCTGCAGAGGAGAGGAGGAAACGGGATTATCTTAGTTAGGGTTTCTCTTGCTGTGAAGAAACACCTTGACCACAGCAATTCTTATAAAGGAAAACATTTAATTAGGGCTGGCTCGCTTACAGTTCAGAGGTTTAGTCCATTATCATCATGGCAGGAGGCAAGGCAGCGTGCAGGTAGACACGGTGCTGGAGAAGGAGCTGAGAGTTTTTCATCTTGATTCACAAGCAATAGGAAGTGGTCAGTCTCACTGGGCATGGCTCAAGCATATATGAGACCCCCAAAGCCCACCTCTACAGTGACACACTTCCTCCAATAAGACCACGTCTACTCCAACAAGGCCACACTTCCTAATAGTGCCACTCCCTTTGGGGGCCATTTTCTTACAAACCACCACAGGGATGCAGGGAAGATGCAGCCGCCCCTCCCTGTACCACCATTCACTCCATGCCTGTCCCTGTGATGAATTCAGGTCCTCCTAAATCCCTCCTCGGTACCCATATGGGGAAACTGGCTCCACGACTCTTCATGAATACCAGAATCCAAGGACGCTGAAGGCATTATACGAAATGGCCTAGTATTTGCATATAACTCATGCACACCTTCCCACATATGCTTCAAATCACGTCTAGATTACCTACAAAGCCTAGCACAATGTACATTCTGTGTGAATAGTTGTTACGTTGTCTAAGAAACCATGACAAGAAAATCAGTGTACACATGTTAAATGCGAATGCAGCTTTCCTGGGTATTTCTTTGTGTTCTCTTTCCCATTTCAATATTTGTGGCAATTTAATTATGTTCAGAACAATAACACAAGAACACAAGAAAAGACATTTTGTGACCTCGAACTGATGGAATTTCATGTGCCTTCCTTTGAGGGGTACATACAGAGCCTGCCTAATGAAGACACATAAGGACAATGGCAGTCCCTGAAATCTTTCTCCAGAGTGTTCATTTCTGTCATGGAATAGTCACATTTTAGGGGTTATTGATAGATGTTAAATCTGTGTACATTTACACTGTCTTAAATGCCACAGCTTTGTGTCCTCAAGTAGTTTGCAGCAGACTAGGCCAGTGCTGGGAGCTGGGAGAGGGGGAATACAGAGCCCACTTTTTCTGATACTAAAGGAATTCACCAAATAGGTTGATGGATTGGAGACCCGAGCATCATTAGGGACAAAATACACACATTAAATCCAGAACCAGAGCTGAGGGCATTTTGTTTATCTCAGGTTGAGAAAATTACATCTTATTGTCTAAACAGACACAGCTCAGTTGGGCATGGTGGCACACCCCTTTAATCCCAGCCAAGTCAGGCAGATCTCTGTGAGTTTAAGGCCAGCCTGGTCTACATAGTGAGTTCCTGGACAGCCAGGGCTACATAGAGAGACCCTACTTCAAAATAAATAAATAAATAAATAAATAATAAATAAATAAAACAAAAAGTTAAAGAATAGACACAGCTCAGCTGTGATTTTTTATCTTCTGCAATCCTTCGGTGTTTTTTCTGGTTATTATATAAATGTAAATTGGCAAATTTGGAGGAAACCACAATTAACAAGCATTATGGCGAGTGTGCTGTTAATGTTCATTCTGAGACATTCTTATCATGTGGAGCTCACAAAAGCTGAGGCTTGAGTTCAACTCACTTCATCACAGCACTCACATAGGCCATGGTGCACATAGAACACAAACCTGAAACAATTCTGGCTAGAGAAAAGCAAGATGTAATGCCCTCCTTACCTCTCCATTCCTTGCTGAGTGTCCTGGGTAAATGCCTCCAGGTCAGAATAAGAGATGCAGATGCAACAACCCGGGAGTGTTAAGTCAACATCAGGACCATACTGCTGTCTTGAATACAGTGTCAGTGTGCAGTGCCCCATGTGGAGTCATGACAGAACCTCAGAACGTAGATAGACATTTAAAGTCAGCTAGACCAAGTGACAGGCATGGCACCCTGACAGCATCTCTGGCAGGCACTCATCCCAACTTCTACTTGGAATCAACCCGTGTTTCTAATACCTGTGACCTCTCAGGCCAGCCTACTCCTTCTTAAATTATGCTCACTGTTTGGAAGTACTCCCTGCTTATTATACTCAACTTCACTTGGTATAGATGGGATCTAAAATTTCCCCACAAGTGCCTGTGGAAAGGCTTGGCCCCTAACCTCTGGTGCTGCTGAGAGGGAGTATGACCTTTACTAGGTAGAGTCTTGGGCTGGAGAGATGGTTTAGCAATTAAGAGTATATACTGCTCTTGCAGAGAACTGGCTCAATTTCTCAAATCCACACGGGGCAGCTCACAACCATTTGAAAGTCCAGTTGCAGAATTACCCCATGCCTCTAACTTCTGCAAATACCTGTACTCAAACACACACACACACACACACACACACACACACACACACACACACACACACACAGTTAAAATTAAATATTTTTTAAAAGGCAAAGTCTAGCTGGAGGATGTTGGGTCATTAGAAACATGCCTTTAATGCTGGGTGGCACACACCTTTAATCCCAGCACTCAGGAGGCAAAGCCAGGAGGATCGCTGTGAGTTCGAGGCCAGCCTGGTCTACAGAGCGAGATCCAGGACAGGCACCAAAACTACACAGAGAGACCCTGTCTCGAAAAACAAAACAAACAAACAAACAAACATGCCTTTATTGGGGATATTGAGACTTGAATACCTTCTGATTCTCTCTGCTTCCATCTGCCACCTGCTCCCACCATGACAGAACCATGCCATGGGCCAGAATGCCACGGGGCCAACTGATCATGGGCTGAAAGCTTTGAAACCATGAACCAGGTAAATCTGTCATCGTATTAAGTTTATTTATTCCAGGGGTTTGTTACATAAATAAAAAGCTGAGTAATATACTATCTAGTGATCACTTCTTCCATAAGCCCATGAGAACCTAAAAGTGACTGTCTCTCAACTATTTAATACACTTGTCTATCATCAAACATTAAATTGCATCAAGTCAACCTACCTAATCCATCTACCAACTGCCTACTCTTCTCCATTTTCATTTATGCTGTGTCTCTCCTAAGCAATTCCTGCTTTCACATGAGACTGTCCTTCCTCAAATCTCACCCTCTCCTGCCCATTTAATACATTAAGCCTAAAGAATATTCTCAATATAACCATCTTCCTTGTGAAAGCCCTGACTAGCATTGTTCTGCCTTCAAACTGAAGCTTGGTTCTTGGATGCTGTTGATACTCTATTATCAGATCCTTACAGCTTTCCCCAGAGCCATTATTCAGAATTCTTTACCTTCCACACAACATATCAAACTATGAACTACTTTGAGTTCCCAAGCTGGTCATGCTGTCCTGTGTGGGCCTTAATCCATCCGTTGCCTGCAAAGGCCTCTTTCCCCATCCAATGGGCTGTTCTGGTCATCCTTTTAGACGTCCCTCCTCATGCCTTTCCCAAGGCTGAATCAGGGTCTCTTGTGGTTCCCTGCTCTTAACCTTCATCATAAATACTAACACACAATGTTACCATCATTTGCTGAAGCGTAGTATGGGAAGGAGGAGAGTCACAACATGCACTAGCATGTTGTACAATCCAGACATTAGAGACACACCATTATTCTCTGTTAAGTGATAAACCCAGTGTCTTTGATCTTTTATTCTTTGGCTTACTACTAGAGGATCCATGATCTTGGCTGTTTTCTTCCTTCGCTCTACATATCCACAAGTTTATTAACATTCCATCTAAATGTACCATCAAAGCTTGAACTTGCTCCTAAAGCCAGCAGAGAAATGAACAATGCCGAAAAGATACATAACATGTGACCTGCATGTCGAGTCTTCTGCTCCAACTCCAAGCTGACTACTGCCTGCATGAGAATCCCCAAACACAGGATCCTAGTAGGTTTGTGGCTCTACCAAAGACCTACTGGAATTTAGTTCTCCATATGGGAATTAACAACGACTCAGCCATATGCTGGATAAAATATGCATTAAGTAGAGTGCAATGGCTATTAATGAAACATTGATGCATCTGTTTATCTGGCCAATTATTTGAAAATAGCCTGGACCTTTTCCAGATGATGACTTCAGCTTGGCATTCTGTAGTGTGAAATCCATTGCTGGATTGTGCTACTGGGATGTTCTTTGTAGGTAAGTTGTTTTTCTGCATGCCAGAACAATTTTATTCTTTGGTGCCTTTCTCAAACAGTGGGTCCAGGGAAGGCTATCCATTTGACAGCAGTGAGGGATTAATTTAATACACTGAAAGGCTGCTCCCAAGGCTCCCATTTCCAAGCTCTCACTTTAGCAGATTCCCTATGTAATGCTCTTAGGCTTCAATACTCTGAATCACCACATTCCACTCTTCTCAATGTTTCCAGTAACTTTCTCATTCTTTATATTTTGTGCCCATTCATTACCCACAATAAATCTTATTTCAGTGCATGAGTCCATATGCCATTTCCTTAGTAACATTTTTCTGTAGCTTTTTAGCATTCTTGCACAATTCAGCCATTTTCACATTAAAAAAATAAAATATAACTTAAGTAGTTAGAGATGCTCAGTGGTTAAGAGCACTGGCTGCTCTTCCAGAGGACCTGGATTTGATTCCCATACCCTCATGACAGCTCACAACCCTCTGTCACTCTAGGTCCAGGAGACCCAGTGCCCTCTCCTGGCTACTGCAGGCACATAGTGTACACACATACATGCAGGCAAAACATCCCTACCCTCAAAATCAAAATAGTATTTAAAAAGAAACTTCTGAGCCTTCAGAAAAGTAAATAAAAACCAAAAGTGCTTTCTATTGTGTGACTGAACAGCCACATGCTCAGAAGATACTCATTCCTGTGAATAGTCATTTCCTCTTTCATCATTAATAAGTGTATAAATAAACACCATAGGCAATGTGATCAATAGCTAGCTCCATAAATTGGCAGTATGATTGGTATTAACCACGTGAATTTATATCTAGATGTAACAAAAACTGGACTGAATGATTTAACTGATAGAGGAAAGGACAGATGGAAGAGCAGACGTTTGTACACACGCATCCAGATCAGGTGACCCATTTCCTGACTTAAAGGAATCTGTAACAGGAGAGCCTTAGGAGAAGCCTTCCTGAAGTCTAGTGCCAGTCAAATTACTCAACTCTGCTCCTTTGGATACTGAATCTCAGTTCTACCAACCCAGTGCCCATATCAGTAGAAGTTTTATGAGCTTCTTTTGTACTTCCAAAAAATATGAGTCTGGGATATTAAAATTATTGCAGGGTTAGAGATGTAGCTTAGTGGTAGAGCATGTGCTTAGCATGCATGGACCCCTATAACCTCTGCATCTTCTCCAAATACCAATTCATGTAATGGTATAAACCCTTGTTAAAAACGAGAAAAGTATCTAGATGTGGTGATGCACTTCTAATACCCGAACTCAAAAGGCAGAAGCAGGGGCATCTCCATTTGAGGCTAGCCTGGTGTGTGTTTGTGTGTATTATTTACACACTACTGGTAAAATTTAACATAGATTAGGCACACCAAGAGACTGACATTAATAATAAATTAGGTCAAATTACAAGAACACACTGTAATGGAACTTACATAAAATGGCCTCTTGAAGCAAGGTGAGCATTACTATTTTCAGACGGTTGCTGAAGAGGAAGCTGGAGTTGAGGAAGCAGATAAGGGAAGTGTTGCTAGAGTTTTCCTGCCTGGCCCACAGTCAGGGCAAATCTCTCTCACCTGCCAGTCCCACAGCCTATCAGACCCAACCAAGTAAACACAGAGACTTGTATTGGTTTCAAACTGTATGGCCATGGCAGGCTTCTTGCTAACTGTTCTTTCAGCTTAAATTAATCCATTTTTATAAATCTATACCTTGCCACATGGCTCGTGGCTTACCGGTATCTTCACATTCTGTTTCTCATAGTGGCGGCTGGCAGTCTCTCTCTGACTCAGCCTTCCACTTCCCAGCTTTATTCTCCTCCTTGTCCCGCCTACACTTCCTGCCTAGCCAATGGCCAATCAGTGTTTTAATTATTGACTAATCAGCAACACATTTGACATATAGAACATCCCACAGCACTTCCCCCCTTTTTTTTTTTAAAAAAAAAAAGGAAGGTTTTAACCTTAACAAAGTAAAATTACATATAATTTGGGAATTTGGGCGTAGCTTCTCTTACTACTTCCTGCTGGAGGGGGGCGCTGTATCTTATGGGGATACAAAGAAAATTTTAGGATCATGGAAAAGTCCATGAGGGTGTATCGTCTGAGCCAGTTGCCTTCAAACCATTCTGGATGTTGGATCATCTGGGCCATGGTGTCATCGGAGACCTTTCAGGGGGTCTTGGCTGGTCAAACCTGATGTATCTTAATCTGGAACAAATCCATAGCCTTTGGCTTTCTGTGGGAACAAAAGCAGAGTCTCCTTTCCAAAGTAACATATCCTTATATCCAAATTTTGAAGTCAAGGCACCTTTAAAATACACATTTTGGCATAACTCAACAGCTTTTACAATCAAATATTTTTCTGCAGTTAAAAGTCCCAAAGACAACACAATGCAGATTCTCTGTGTAATATCCATTTTTACGTGGCTTATTTTTTATACTACCTTTACTGTCTCTTTAAAGACTTTATTTTTTAAAACTATGTTTCTATAACTCTATATATCATCTTTTTTGTCTCTTTCAAGCCTACGTATCTTTTACACACATTGTAAACTATTACATCTGAATCTGTCTTATTGTGAATCTATTGCCTTAAACTGCAGCAGCTGTGGCTGCTGGCTCCACCCACCTCAGCTTCCCAACATGGCCATGGTTTACCGCCAGCTCTGGGAGCTATCGGGGGTCTATGCTTTTAGCCAAGCAGCGTGTAGCCCAGAAACCTCCCCTTTTGCTCTGCACCAGCAAAGGCTAAATCCACCATGCAGCTCAAAGTGCCACTTGCAAAGGCCTCATTCCCACCATAGGCAGGTCGAGCACGCACGCTAGGAACCCACCAGTAGCTCAAACCAGCAGCTGCCGCTCATTTGAGAGAGACAATTAGGAACTGTTTTTAGCTCCGTTTTAGAATCTTTTCTCAGGTTTTTAGGTGGAAACTCTTGCCACCACGTTGGGCGCCATTTGTTGCTAGAGTTTTCCTGCCTGGCCCACAGTCAGGGCAAATCTCTCTCACCTGCCAGTCCCACAGCCTATCAGACCCAACCAAGTAAACACAGAGACTTGTATTGGTTTCAAACTGTATGGCCATGGCAGGCTTCTTGCTAACTGTTCTTTCAGCTTAAATTAATCCATTTTTATAAATCTATACCTTGCCACATGGCTCGTGGCTTACCGGTATCTTCACATTCTGTTTCTCATAGTGGCGGCTGGCAGTCTCTCTCTGACTCAGCCTTCCACTTCCCAGCTTTATTCTCCTCCTTGTCCCGCCTACACTTCCTGCCTAGCCAATGGCCAATCAGTGTTTTAATTATTGACTAATCAGCAACACATTTGACATATAGAACATCCCACAGCAGGGAAGATTATGACATTCATACTTTTACATGTGTTTACAGCTCTGGAGAGAAGTCCTCAGAAAGGCTGAGGCCGGCGGTGTGTACTGCCACTCTGAGCATATCATCCTTCTGAAGTGCATGTTTCCTGTTTCCTCCATGGAACACCAGCATCTTGGACCAGGGCAAACATGACCTGATAAATCAGAATGGATTCTAGATCTAGACTAGTGTTCGGCATGAAGTAGATGCTCGATAAATGGTTATTGGACATTAACCGAAGGGAAAATACTTTCTCTCTGGCCCTGATGTGGTCTGTTAGATGCAGGAGAGAATTATGATCACAAGGTTTTAGAAGTTTGAGAGGAGGATGTAGAGAAGAGAGAGAAGGGAAAGAGAAGGGACAGAACTGGGAGGGAAAGAGGGGGGACGGACGTGGGGGAGGAGAGAGGAGACAGAAGAAGGGAGAGAATGGGGGGGAGGATACGAAGTCATAAGGATGCTGAATGTAGAATGTCCAGCTCCACGTATTGGTAATTGTTACAGCATATTCTGCCTCTGACTGAATGTTCCACAAACACGTAATTAAGGTAATCTTCCTCACAGGGGGTGCGGGAGAAGCCAAGCTGCAACATGTTTTGAACAGCTGGGGAACAGCAGAAATACTGGAGGGAGAAAACCACACACAACATCCTGTGTGCTGGTGTTTTCGTAGAATTTAAAAATAAATGCCAAGCGATGGAACACAATCATTGTGAGGGACCAAATTGGAATCTGTGCTGCCTTAGTTGTTCAAGGGACAGAAGATTCTAGATGCTACCTTGGCAATGAAATAGAGCAACTGCTGTGTACATTGCTAGCTCATGAGGGTAGCCAGGATTCAGAACATCACAGTGTGGGGAAGGAAATCTCCACAGGCCCTGCTTTTACATGTATATTTAGAGTTCGTGGGCTGGACAGATGGCTCAGCAGTTAGAGCGCTAGCTGTTCTTGCAAAGGATCCAGGTTCCATTCCCAGCATTCTTGTGATGTCTTACAACTCCTGCCCCCCAAGAGCCAATGCTCTCTTCTCTCCTCCATGGGCACCAGGCACACGCATGCTGCCCAGACATACACGCACGCAAAACTCATATACATAACATAAAAATAAAGATCATAAAGTGTCTTCATTAGACTCTTCTCAATGGGACATTTCTAGCTCTTCTGAATGTAATTTTGCACATGCACGAGCACACACACACACACACACACACACACACACACACACAGATCCACAGACTTCCTCCCAGCTTTTAGCCTGTGCTGAACTGTCATCATGACCAAGTACACTGCATTCCTTGTTTGGGGTCATGTGGTATCTCACTGGACAAGTCCCAAGGCCTTCACTTATCATCCCTCTTGTCTGCCCACTCAGCGGCCCCCATCATTGGGTGCAGTGGTTTGGGAAAGCACCTTTTGCCCTTTCTACTCTCCTCAGAAAGGGTTCACAGGCTGCGATTCTGGATGTTTATGGAGTCACTTCCTGTTTCATCAACTGTTCTCATCCCTCAGGTGTCAAACACACCCATGCTCCCTGCGCATCCCTTCTATTATCATAAAACAATACAGCCAATGCCTGCCTGGGGCTCCAGGCTCCCCTGTCCTGAGAGAAGAGCACACTCAGTCTGCAGGTTGGTGCCCTGTAAGAATCCCCCAGTCAGTGAGTGAGAGACAGACGCAGTCCTTCCTCCTGGGCTTGCCAGTGGTGAGGTTCATTTCTCGATCCCTTAGTTCTGGTGTCTCAGCAGGACTGGACTGGCTCCGGGCCCTTAGATGCCCTGGGTTACAGGGTCCAAATGCTCATGTCACTCACCCCCCTTTTCCGGAGTCATTCTTGTGTTCTCTTCCTTGTTGACTGAGGTTGACCTTCAGACAATCTACTTGCTGCTGAGTCTTTAACTCAGTGTCTCTTTGAGAGAGAAACAATGAAGCAGAGCAGAGGGGAAACATCTCTGATAAATAAAAACAAGGTTCATTAGGATCCAGTTAATTAAGAACCAGTGATATTCACAAGTTCTTCTAAGCATGTTTCCTAATGTATTTATGCAAGAATGATATTTGAAAATGAACAGCACCCTTCCATAAATTCACTCATGATGTTTTCTTAAGGAAGACATTTTCTTCCTCACAGGAGACTTTCAATGGTGTTAAATACTAAAAAACTAAAGCTGATGTGATTTAGAGAAAACAAGATCCCAAGCTGGAATTAAACAGGGCTGGGTGGGAGAGAAGGGCCTACTTTTAAATGCTGATCTCCTACTGGCAATTTGAGGGCCCGCCCAGAGCAGTTTGTCCACAGAATCAAGTGACATGTCTGATCCTTTGCTGTAGATTTTGTGTCCTGAGAAATAGATATGACACTCATTCTAAAATAAACTGAAAATTAACGCTTCACAAAATAGTCACAGTTCTATACTTTAGTCACTTTATTACTACTGTTGCACAACAAGGTCATGAAATGTTTATTAAAAATACACCTAAGGGCTGGAGAGATGGCTCAGAGGTTAAGAGCACTGGCTGCTCCTCCAGAGGTCCTGAGTTCAATTCCCAGCAACCACATGGTGGCTCACAACCATCTATGAGATCTGGTGCCCTCTTCAGGCCTGCAGGCAACATGCAGGCAGAACATCCTAGACATAATAAATCTCAAAAAAAAAAAAAGAAAAAAAGAAAGAAAGAAAGAAAAAAAAAAGGAGAAAAATACACCTGGTTTGTAATCATTCTATCCCCACGTTTAACCTGTGTTCAGATGTGGGCCAGACAAAGTCACATTAACTTGTTTCTGGTTTCTGAATTTCACCAGGACTCTAACAAGCAGACCTGACTTAGACATTACACGCACATAGGGTCTGCCGGGGCAATGAAATGCATTTACCATGCCCCTTGCCATCTGTCCCTGCAACCAAACCAGAAGATGATGCTGTTGCAGCACCAATGCTTGACCTGGAGTAACCTCTTACAGGTTTGAAGAAAGGCTTTCCAATTGAAGAGTGAAGAAACTGAACAGAAAACTATACCTAGAAGGAGGGGAAACTCTTCTTAGCTCTCATGGTTACTCTGTTTTACTCATTGCTAGCCAGATAGCTGCCATTGATGATCTACAAAGAAAAAAACCTTAACTAAAATTATTCAAACTTTTCTCATACTCTGCTCTGAACAAACATGACTGACATATCCTTTCCT